GTCCCGGCACACGTGTCCGGGCTACTAGGAGGCGGGGCTACAATGTCTCTCTACATTTCACTTAACATTATAATCTTCAGTTCTATCCATTTTCCTGCAGAGGAGATTTAATTCTCTTCTAGGGTTGAATAATGCTCCAAACACTCATCGTTGTGTCTATCTATCACATTTTCTCCCTCCATTCTGTTGATGGGCTCCTATGCTGAACCCATGGTTTTGCTGTTACGGTTGGTGCTACAGTAAACATATTAGTCATGTTGACATAATTACATATGGCAAACCTTATCTCTTGAACATAAGTAATTACTTCATCAAAGATGAACTTTGAACTTTTCCCATTTCAAGATCTAGAATATACATAGCTCTATTTTTTCTATAAGCTTGAATTTTAAAAATCTTTTTTTACATGTTGATGTCCATGGTCCATGCTGCCAGAGGGGACCAAGTTGAGGTCCGTGTTTCATGCTGCTAGTAGTGGCTGTGTGGATGTCTGTGGTCCATGCTGCCTCTAGAAACCCTGTGGAAGCCCATGCGCTGTGCCGCCATTGGTTGTTATGGGCAAGGAAGCTTATTTTGCAGTGTTATCAATGACTAGAGATTCATTCTTGAGAGAATCATTGACTTTTGTGACAACCCCTAAAACCCTCCCAAAATAAAAGAGACAGTCTAGGCAGGAAGTCACTGAAGAGAGTCCTTAAAAACGGTGATAGATTCTGAAGTGTGGCACTTCACAGCTGGTGGCTTCTTGCGGGGGGGGGGGAGTGGGGATGGGCAAGGATCCAGTTATCTTTAGGGTCTGGCCACTAGGAGCATGGCAGTACTCCAGTGAGTATATGGGTGGGCAACACAAATTGGATTGGGTGTATTTTTTTCTTCTTTTTTGGGGGGAGGGCACAATAGTGGGAGGGTGGGCCTGGGTGTAATGAGAATCCATTGTAATCAGGGTACATTAAATGGAATTCCCAAATAACCAATAAAAATATTATGCTGGAAAAATCCATTGTCAATAAAAGAAAAAATAAAGACAAAAAAAGAAAAATATTTTTTAGATTTTATTTATTTTTATTTTGTGTGTGTGGGGGTATTTTTTCTGCATTCATGACTATGCACCATGCATGTCCAGAAGAAGGCATTGGATCTCCTTGGACTAGAGTTGCAAATGGCTGTGAACTTTTATATGGGTATTTTGGTCCTCTGGTGAAGAGAATCGGTGCTTTTAATCCACTAGACATTTTGAAATTTTGGGTTTATTTTTTTGTGTGGGTTGATTTTAAGCCTTTATCTCATTTTGTATTTTTGTAAGTGGGGTACAATAGGGATCCACTTTCATAGTTTGAGTTTTATGTATTGATCATTCTTTGAAATATATGTAATTTTTCATTCAGTCACAGTATTTCCTAAATATGTTCTTTCACAGACCAAGGCCACCTGAATTATATCTCCTTTAAAACATTTTAATATGCACAGACTTTGAATTTTATTGATTTCCTTCATTTTAAATTTATCTAGTTTTTAATTTAAGTTGATATGCATCTCCATCTAATTGCTTTTGCTTCATTCTCAAACTCTTAACCAGAATACTATGCTCATTATTTTAAAATATTTTTTCGTAGAATAAATAAAGATTATAGGTTTCCCTCAAAATGCTATTTTTATGATATCTTCTGAGTTCTGGCATCTATTGCCTTCATCATCATTAAATTTCTCAAATCTTTTAATTTCCATTATAAAACCTCTCATTCTGGTTTGCAGTCCAAGTCAGTAGTTTTTTGCTACATTGTGTCTTGTCTACAACCCATTGTATTATTCATAGAGAATATTTCATTTGGTTTTGTTTAATGATCTTTTTCTATAAAAAATGAAGAATTAAACAACATAATTTCACAACATAAAAACTTGGTCTATAAATGAAATTAATGGTGTAATCACAATCACTACATCAATGACATAGTGTCACAAGGAAAGGTGTGGTTCCTTAAATCCAACACCTAATTCTAGATGTGCTCAGGTTTCTGTGGTGCCCGAGTGAGGGGCTTTTCAGGTTCTGACTCTACAATTTAGACAGACTCACTAAGGGGTCTGCATGTTTCTAAGAGTTGTCAATCAGCTTTTTCTTTTCTTTTCTTTTTTTGTGTTTCTATTTTGAGACAGGGATTCTCTGTGTAGCTTTGGAGCCTATCCTGGCACTCTCTCTGTAGACCAGGCTGGCCTCGAACTCACAGAGATCCACTTGCCTCTGCTTCCCGAGTGCTGGGATTAAAGGTGTGCGCCACCAATACCTGGCTGTCAATCAACTTTTAAAACATTCCAACAGCTAGTTCTGAGTCATGAGAGGATGCTCAACAAGTAAACAAGGATAGTGAACCTCTATTCACAGCCTTGTAAATCTTAATATTTTTACTTCTGTAACTTCAAAATCATCTTCATTTGTCTGGGAATGTCTTCACATGTGTCAGGTTAGTAGAATTAGGCCCATTATACCATTTTTCTCTCTATTTCTCCCCAACATGAGTAAGTTACTTCTGAACACATAAAGGTTCTTCTTGTGAGAAGAATAATGGTTCCTAAGAGACAGATGAGTGGTTGAGTCCTAATCTATGACTGTGTCATCCTCCATGGCAAAGGGGTTTTGAGGACATGATTAAGAATCTCAAGAGGGAGAGTTGTTTGGACTATTTGTAGGTATTCATTGTAAACAGGGGCTCCCGATAAGGAGAGGCGGTGACGGAGGACATGGGGAAAAATAACATAGGGTCATGACGCAAGGAGGGTGGGCAGCCCTTAAAGTTGGGAAATGCCAACTATTGCTTATAGGAAAATTACACCCCCCAAAAAAATATCCAACACTTGGATTCAGGCTAGAATTCAGTCTAGAAAATGTCTGGGCTGATACATTACTCCTAGAGTCGATTTTACTGCTCTTACTGGTAAAATCTACTGCAGAATGTTTGCATCAAAGACCACTCAGTGCTCAGCCCCTGACCTTCATCTTCTGCTTTCACAAACACAAGTAAAATAAAAATAATCTTCTGGGCTAGTCTTTCTCTCTTTGTCTCTCTCTGTCTCTGCTTTTCTCTGTGTGTGTCTGTCTCTTTGTCTCGGTCTGTCTGTCTGTCTAAAGATCTATGTATTTTTAGGAAGTGTCTACAGGGAATTTCTGGCATGTGTCTGAGAAGACCATACATGTGTGGCATGTCTGCCCTCTAAGGTATTTACTTATTTCTTTTCATTATTCCCATTTTTCCTGCAGCACTATCAGCCATTCGTCATCAAGTTCTCCATTGCTTTTTCTTTCTTTCAAAATGCCTGTTGTTTTGTCTTTCAGCTCCAGGCTCATAACTACTACTGCTCCTAGAAGCACCCCCTCCTTTTGCCTCCTCCCCTCACAGCCTCACTGACCTTAGAATCAAAGTTTTCATTTTTCTCAGTTGATTGCTCTTTCCATCCCATAGTTCAGGTATATTTTTGATCCCTTACATGGTTCAAAGATCATGGATGATCAAAGGCTGGTAGCATCAATTATTTGTTGAATCCTGGGATTTGTCACTCCTATACTTCCTTAATGCAGCTTTGACCTGGAAACAATTACATCTTCAAGTGTGAGTGCAAGTGGAATTCTGTTCATTTCTCAGTGATAGGCATAGCCGTATAAGATTAAGGACCAGAAAAACAAGGACGTTTCTATGACATCAATAAACTTTTACTAGGGCAACTATTCACATCAAAGTCTCAGGACAGTGGCAGGAACACTCGGATCATCAAACATATTTGAAGGCATTCACCATTTGTATGGCTGGAGTGCACATCATTTAGCAGGGCTCTTTAAAACACTGCTGGTCTTAAGGTATGGGTGGTAGTGACCAAGGCATGAATAATGAATTGGGAAGAGCTTTGTCAATGAAGGTGGACCGAAAATGAGAGGACTGACGATGTTGCCTGAGAAGAAAGCAAAGTATACATCTTCCCAGTGTTCAGCTTTCAGTCAAGATTCCTTCAACTAAAACTATACCTGTAACTACCTTACCTCAAGAAATGGACAACCAGGGGCCCTTGATTTGATTCTGTCTATCCCTACTGCCTGCCATAACACAGGTCACTTAATTTGTGTTGGGTTTGCTCAAGTGTTATTGTTTGAATATGAAATGCCCATCTTGGGCTCATGCTTGGTCCTCAGATGATGGTACTGTTTATATGTTCAAACCTTAGGAAGTGAAACCTAGTTAGAGGAAGTAGGTCACTGGGCCTTTACCTTTGAAGGCTACATGAGGTCTCTCATACCTCCTCACTCTGGCTTCTTGTCTTTGTGGTATGAATACCTCTCAGTGTGCTCTTGACACTTTGCCGGTCTGTCTAAGCACAAGAGGCCAAACAATACTGTACTGAAGCCATGAGCAAAAATAGGTCTATCATCCACTAAGGGTTCTTCCATGTATTGTGTCTCTAACAGCACACCAACTTTGGAACTGTGATGTAACTTAGATAGCATAACATAATTCAAAGAACAAAGCAATAAAATAAACAAAACAGAATAATGTAGTCAAGAATTTATTGGAAAAATCAATGGACAATGTGTGAGTGCATTTATAAGTTAAGAAAATATAAAGCCATGCAAGAGTTACAAGATGATTGTTAAAATCCTATAAACACATTAGAAAAAAATTATAGACATTTATCATTGCAAGGCTCTCATTATATAACTGTTAATGGATTTTTTTTGTTTTTAATTTCTTAAGTTTAAAAGGCAATTATCTCTTTGTCAAGGCTAAGGTCACAAACCCGGGTATAGATCAGTTGATGTTTAGAAGCAGAGGAATAAAAAGGATATCAAAGTGGATTTGATGGTAGGCAGTGATCAAGTCACAAGTCTGTTAATAAGAAAATGACTGGGAGTTTATGATGCGTATTACTTTTAAGTGCATATTATTAGCAGAGAATAGTAGCAAATTGATGTACTGTGGTTATCTCACAGGTCTCTTGTTAGTGGATCTATGGTAAGTTGATCAACAACTACAGGGCTCACAGCAGCTGGACCCACAGCCTTGGGACAGACAGCCAGGCACACAGACACATGTGGGCTGGTAGCAAGTCCTAGTGCAGGTCACAGGTCCAGAGCAAGCTGGCTGGCAGCACAGGTCGAGGCAGAAGGGCTTGCAGCAAGGCTTGCAACAGGGCTTGCAGCAGGGCTGGCAGCAGGGCTGGCAACAGCTAGAGATACAGCACCTGGGCTGGCAGCAGCTGGACTCACAGCAGCTGGGCTGGCAGCAGCTGGGCTGGCAGCAACTGGGCTGGCAACAGCTGGGCTGGCAGCAGCTGGGCTGACAGCAGGGCTGGCAACAGCTGGACACACAGCAGCAGGGCTGGCAGCAAGGTGTGCGACAGCAGCTGCTCACACAGCTTGGCTGGAAGCAGGTCCTACAGCAGGTGGTTTGGCAGCAAGGCTGGCAGCAGCTGGAGCCACAGCAGCTGAGCTGGCAGCAGCCTCATCAGTGTCATCCCTGCTCTAGTCATGTGAGCACAGGTCAGCGTTTTCCTGCATCCTGTACCTTTGGCTATATGCAGATTGGGAAAAGGCCATGATAATGATACGTTCACAGTGTCAAACTGAATCCACATCTGGGTTCAAGCCTGTTCCTTAGAAAGGTCTGTTTACTCCAGACTACAACAGGCAGCAGACACTTTCCGTATTTCATCAGCTTTATCCAAGTACACATGGGCAGAGGATGGTTGCCACAGTCATTTTTACACACAAATAAACCCAACTGTGGATCAATAGTTGCAGTGAAATGACGTAAGGACCTAGAAAACATCAATCAATTTAGATATTCGTCCTTTTTAGCAGCAGAACCAATAAACTCAGGTCAGATCCCCACATTTGCATACTGTCTTTATAAAATGACAAAATTAAATTCTATGAGATGGAGCCATACACCTTTATTTAAGAGAATTTAAAACATAACACAGTATCAGGAAAATCTATGTGCTTTGATATGTATCTTTACTGAATATGATAAAGATAGTGTGTCCAGTATTGGTGTCAGGAGACAGTGGCATCTCTGGTGGTTGTCACTATGTTATTATCTCTGGACCTCTCCTTAAGGGAACTAGTATGCAAGTAATAGTGTGTTAATTTTTGATCTTTATCAAAAGTGAAGTCATTTAGCATGTATTTTTTTTCTTTTGCTCAAATTTGCTTTTGAGATTTATAGACTCCACTGCCTACAGTGTTCAGTTGTTCAATTTTGTTGATATCATTGCAGGATGAGATCTAATAAATTGTATTAATGTGCTTCGTAGCTGGCAGATGTAGTTCCAGCATTTAAACTTGAATCCTGTTCTCATGGATGTATTTGCCCACATCTTCTAGTGAATGTTTTTTTTCATGTGCCTTTGGAGTGAAGTTTCTGGAGTATATATTATGCATTTGGTCAACCTTAGCAGGTTGTTTCAATGTTCTTTTAAAAGTTACAAGATTGACCTGGAGAGTTTATTTTTAACACTCCAAGCCCATCACCAAGGCTTAAGGAATAAAGCAGAAGAGGAGGTGAAAGGAGCCGGAGGATGGGGAAGGAAGGCTATGAAATGCAAACTCCTGGACTTGATATGGCTATAAACACTCATGAACTCATGAAGTGATTACTTACATTGTTCTATTATTAAATAAAACTAAAGAGTCACATATCAGGGTAAAATCTGATTGATGAGAGAAGTGGTGGAGAAGTAAACAGTGACCTCCTCTCCCAGGGGAAAGGTAAACGCCACATGGCAGAATGTAGATTATTCAAGTAGGTTAATTGGAGTTAGAAGAGCTAGTTAGGGGCAAGCCTAAGCTAAAAGACAGCTTCTATAATTAATAAGTCTCTGTGTTTTGGGGGGCTGGTGATCCGAAGATATCCCAATAAGAAAGCTTGCTACATTTGATGCTCCGTGTTGGGCTCTGGATAATGTGTTTACCTTAATTGTTCTAGTATTAATAAAAGCTCAGGAGTCAGATAGTGGGGTAAAAACCTGATTGATCAGAGAAGCAGCAGAGAAGCAAACAGTGACCCCTTCTCTCTCTCCTTCCTTGATCCAAAAGGGCATGAAAATCTTTTTAAGCCCCCCCCACTACTTCCTATGTCTTTGTATACATCCTAGGAGCTCCAAAATCTCTATGGCTAATTCTGGTCAGCTAGTAGCTAGCTCTGCCCTCCAATTCAAGATAAACTTTATTGATAGCCTCAGGATATCAATTAAAATAACTAGAATAAATAATAAATAAATAAATAAAATAAAATAAGTCAGAGTGCAATTAAAATAACCCACAATAAACTCATGACAGCTTTGACTACCTGTACATGACCTGTACACCATCAAACAGCCAAAATTCCATCACAGATTGGGAGGGACTTCCAGTACCCCATCTCTTTCTGAGGACTGATTGGCAGTTGATAGCTTGCTGGTGTGTGTATGGGGGTCATTCTGTTTTGAATGTATGGCCCCTGGCAGATTTCCCTTCATCTAGTGGATGGCTCTGCACCCATGAACATATGGTAAGCTCTAATAGTGTATTGTCAAAATAAAAGAAATAAAAATAAATAGATTAATAAATGAAAGGACCTGAAGTTGTGAGAAATTGGGAAAAGTTGGAGTAGAGAAATAAGGGAATGAATATAATCATGTTTCATTGTATTCATATATGAAATTCCCAAGAATAAAGAAAAAAATTTTATTTTATAAATTTTTATTTAAATTTGAAACAATCTTATTTTACATATCAATCCCAGTTCCTCCTCCCTCTCACCCTCCCACGCCCCCTCCATGCCATCTTCTTATTTATGTAGGTGCTAAGAATTCAAGTTCAGCTCCCCAGTGCTTGCATGGCAAGCATTCTTACCCATTGAGCCATCCCTCTAGCCACTGTAATTGGAAGTTTTTGATGGCACTTTAGAGAATGGATAAATGAATAAATTAGTGATTGCTAGTATATTTTAACAAAACACACCATTTTGTGAAGTTTTGGTGGCAAAACAGTAACAAACTCAACTCCATCTCTTCATCGTCTATAGAAAAGGTTGTATTTGGGGACGACTGATCTAACAGTCCAGCTCATATTCTGAAACAATGACTCAAATTAATCCACCCTAAGTTTAGAGCCCTCAAGTTTTCTCCTGTGAACCAGGGGAAAATACATATGGTGATGCTCCCTGACAAATATGCAATATTTATCATGGATCTAATTAACGTTAAGCAAGCCTGTTTAGTAGTCAGAGAGTGGTGGTGGCTTCCTACAGATGGAGCCGCTGCATTCTGGAGGTGGGAAAGCTTAGAGGTGACAGGATTTGTTACTTCACTGTGTACTTTGATCTTATTTGGCCCTTCCCATTACCCTTTCTTCTCTCATTTCTCCTCTCTTGCTCGTCTCCTTCACTTTCCACATAGCCCCTTTCCACCTTCATGTCTTTTAAAGAAATCTAGATTGCACACATGTGAGAAAAGATTCAGGATCCATCTTTCTGAGCATGGCTTATTTTGCAAACAAAATGCATCATTCTTCCTTATGGCTAAGTAATTTCTACACATGCTGGGATGCACACATTCATTTATTGATTGACACTGAGACTGATTCCATGACTCAACTGTTTCGGATAGTTCCATTATAAATACAAATTGGTGTTTATTGATGGGGAATTGTTTTAAGTGTAATGACTGACATGATAAACCTGGAATTGGTTTACATATAGTTGAGGATGGTGGTCATTTGTATACACAATTACCTTGAGACCTTGAAGCAAAGCAGCCTTTCCCCACTCATCTTCTGAGTCAGCATTGCTGCCTATCAAGTGACCTCATGGAAATCTCTTTCTCTTACTGTACTAATTCAGTTTCCTATGGGTCTGAGGCATTGGGTCCTTGACATCACTGTGCCCATGTTAACAATGCCTGTCCACCCAGGACTTCACTCGCTATGCACTCACCCAAGGCTTCCTTGGCTCTCCGAAACCATGAGGCATCACCTTCATCCCCCAAGATTATATTGTAGCAATGCAGAGTACATGCTTGAGAAGGAACAGAGATGCTTGTTCTACTTTTGCCAATTACCGACTCCATAGTTTTAAAATTCTATTTTTCCAAATGTGAAACAAGGTAATCTTAATCCATTAATATCGGTATATAAAGAGGCCTCATTTTAGTCTTCATTTGCACTTCCTTGAATTCTGCTCACATTGACCATTTCTTTATAATTTTGGTCATGTTTATTTTTGTCTTTCTCAGATGCCACCAAGTTTATAACTTGTTTTTTTTTTTCATTTTTCTGTTAACGGTCTCTAATGATTGCAAGCTCTATATGTTAGAAGCCAAATTCGGCTGTTTTTTTCTGGTGATAAAAACATGTCCTTTCTCGGAGATGTTTATCTATTTCTTACAAGTGTTTCAAGGGTTTTAAGTCAATTTTAAGTCCTCAGTAGACCTGGGGTATATTTTTGTAGATTATGGGCACTAGATACCTACTCCAAGTACTTTCTATCTCAACTTACAGAACAGTCTCTGGGAATCTATAATTACTGCACATTTCCATGTAAAATGTTATTTTTTTTACTTCTTTCTTATCAGTGTTATCATAAATCAACTCCCTCTCCAACATGGCTATTTGTACAGGTAAACAGAAGAGTAAAGACATAAACTGTGCCATTTCTACAAGACCAACAATTTCCAAATGGTCTTTTCACATCCAAATACTGAGATGGCTTGGCAGATCAAGGTGCCTCCAAGTCTGAGTTTGATCCCCAAGACCTACATTGTGAAATGAGAGAAACAACTCTCATATTTGTCTTCTGATCACTACACACACACACACACACACACACACACACACACACACACACACACCAGACACACAGACTGTAAAAAATGCTTTCAAAATCCCAAGACAGTAGCAAGTATACTGTGGTTGAAAAATATTTAAAAGTTATCATCAGCGGCCTTTTTAGGTAAGGCAATACAAGGTTTCCATGGCTTTCTAGGATCCTAAAACCAACTCTTTTGCTCAGTGGTTACTGGTTACCAAGGTGATTGGTAAATGGCAGAGAGCATCATGAGATGCACAGCTTCCCAGTACTCAGTTCTGATGTCTCTGCTTCATTAAGTTGTTCCCATTATCACACCAGAGCTGCAACAGGTAAGTCCAAGTCTCTGGAGGGATGTTTTTTATCCTTAACTATGTGACCTGACACAGCTCACTCATATCCTGCGTGTTGTCTCTGCCTATGTCTGAGACTCTGATGTGTCTCAGATGAGATGACACAATATGACAAGAAAAACACAGAAACAAGACAAAATACAACTTAGGAAACTTAGGAGATAATTGAGTGAAGACTTTATTAGTAAACCATAGATAATAGCCTTCCAACCAGTAGACAATGCAAAGTTTTTATGGATGAGTTACAAGGTGAGTCATAGTAATTATAAACACATGGAAATGAATGATGAGTAACACTGGGAAAAATCACACTGGGCTGGCAGCAACTGGGCTGGCAACAGCTGGGCTGGCAGCAGCTGGGCTGACAGCAGGGCTGGCAACAGCTGGACACACAGCAGCAGGGCTGGCAGCAAGGTGTGCGACAGCAGCTGCTCACACAGCTTGGCTGGAAGCAGGTCCTACAGCAGGTGGTTTGGCAGCAAGGCTGGCAGCAGCTGGAGCCACAGCAGCTGGGCTGGGAGGCTGGTCACACAGCTTGGTCTCCAGCAGGTGGTCCTGCAGCAGGTGGTCCTGCAACAGGTAGGCTGGCAGCAAGGAGAGCAGCAGGAGTTGGTCATGGTGTTGGATATGGAGAGAGGAGTTCTACTCACAGGTGAGTTTCCCAAAAATCTATTTTTTTCTTTGTTATTTTGCCTTTTATACATGATGCCCCAAAATTTGAGCCAATGAGGAGAACTTTTGTGTGTCATCATTTATGCTAATTTTCTCATCCTATGAAGTACTTCAAAGGAGAAGTTGCTCCTTAAGTGTTTTGAATTTTTCTTTAGTAATCCATATGTTTACTTTCCTGATTGGTAAGTAAACAATTAATACCCTTTTCCTTGAATGACAAAACCAACTGCCTTTCACTACATCAGCTTTAACTCTAATCTTTTTCTTTCAGTGTGGACAAATGTAGGTGGAATTTTTTGCCCTGCCAGCCAGGTCACATCACCCTTCTTCTTCCCAGCATCCTCGCTGCCCCTAAAATCCTGCCTAGCTATTGGCTGTTCACCTTTTCATTAAACCAGTTAGAGTGGCACAATATTCACAGTGTACAAAAAGATTATTCTACAACAGACACATTTTTAATATTGATTATTTACTATGATGTTTTAAATGTTCACTTTTTCCAACAGAAGAAAGTTGCTGCACACCTTTGTTTCTTTATAAAACACAGTAAAATGAATAATAATTTGTTCTTGTGGCTACTAGTAGTAAATCCTGTCTCATTTTTGCATACTATAAATGATATTCTTGCACAGCATTGCATTAGGACCCAGTGGTGCCTAAACAATGTCATCTGCATGCAGCAAAGGTGCATGGTTCTCATGGCACACTTTCACCTCTCTGAGTCAAGTAAGCTCCCTCTGCCTGTCATTCCATTTCAATATGAAGTAGACTGTTGGGTTTCATTAGCAATTTTATTGTGTGGCTTTTATAAAGAAAAAAATGAGTTGGTTTCTTTCACAGTTTACAGTTCTCAGGAGATACTCACTTTTGGAAATATATAAGCCAACGATGACATTTTTTTCAACTTTTATTGATTCTTTGTGGATTTCATGTACATGCTGGACCCACTTATCCTCCTATCCTCTTGCTTCTGCCCTCTATCCATGCATTCTCCCCCCAGAACAAAACAAAATTTAAAAGAAAATAATTATTTTTTTTGAGATTTAAACTCAAAAACAAAACCAAGAAAAAAAAAGGAGAAGAATCTTATCATGGAAGCCATAGTGTGGCCTGTTGAGTCACACAGTTTATTCTTTATTCCATTCATTTTTATTTGTAAGTGTTCACTGCAATGAGTCATTGGTCTGGTTCGAGACCTCTGATTTCTGCTATGATATCGGTAATGGGCTCTCTCTGGGGCTCCTCTTGGATATCTTGCTGTTGTCCTGTGTCATGGGGATCCTGCAGCTTTGGATCTCTAGGTTTGTCTCCTTCACATGCTGCAACAATTCATAGGTGCAGGAGATGCTGGGCAGCAATGTTTTGAATAACCAAATACCATTTAGAAGATGATATCTTTTGATGCAGCTGTATTAAATAAACATCTATGACTTTTCTTAAATTGCCAGCATATACTGGAACCTAAGAGGGTTTTCCTCTTCCCATAATTCACTTAATTGCTGTTTTAAAACTTTAGTATTTTCATCACTTACAATTTCTGTCTTAGATGAAAGTCCTGACCAGTACCCTTTTATGACTTCCAGAAGCCAGCTTAAGATAACCATTGAATATACTTCTGGTTTGCTTTTCCATCATGGTTTTACCAGAGGCAATACATCCACACAGCTGGCAAGTGAGATGTATTGGTTTTCTTCCTGTAAACACAAAGATGATCTACCATGATCTACCCAGCCAAAGTGCTGAGTCAGCGCCCCCCCCCCCCAGCAGCTCAGAGCTTCATTTGATTTCTGCAAGCCCCACTCACAGCCCATTCAAAGGCCTCAGTGCAAGGCCTGCTAGGATGGCTACCTAATTCTTTCACAAATTCATACATGTATAAAGTACTTTTGTGATAGTCACTTTCTGTTTATCCCCACCCACTCTCACAAACCCCCTTCTCTTCTTTTTTCCCATTTTTAATTAGAATTAGAAACAAGATTGTTTTACATGTCAATCCCAGTTCCCTCTCCCTCCTTTCCTCCCCTACAACCCCCCCAACTAAAACCTTACCTATCACATACCCTTTCTGCTCCCCAGGGAGGGTGAGACCTTCCATAGGGGGTCTTCAGAGTCTGTCATATCCTTTGGGATAGGGCCTAGGCCCACCCCCCTGTGTCTTGGGTCAGGGAGTATTCCTCTATGTAGAATGGGCTCTCAAAGTCCATACCTATGCTAGGGATAAGTACTGATGTACTACAGGAGGCCCCATAATTTCCAAGGTCTCCTCACTGACACCCACGTTCCTAGGGTCTGGATCAGTCCCATGCTGGTATCCCAGCTATCAGTCTGGGGACCAAGAGCTCCCCCTTGCTCAGGTCAGCTGTTTCTGTGGGTTTCACCAGCCTGGTCTGGACCTCTTTGCTCATCACTTCTTCTCTGCAACTGGATTCCAGTTCAGTTCAGTGATTAGCTGTGGATGTCTGCTTGTAATTCCACCAGCTGCTGGATGAAGGCTATAGGATGGCATATAAGTCAGTCATCTGCTCGTAAACAGGGAGGACCCTAAGAGACACATACATGGTCCCCTGGAGAATGGGAAAGGGTCAAGATCCCCTGAGCAAATTGAGAGTGTGGGAAGAAGGGGGAGGGAGCTACGAGGATGAGAAAGGAAGAAGAGGAAGGATGCAGAGGTATAAGGGAGCAAAAAGGTTGAGTCAGGGGAAGAATAGAAGAAAGGATATGTGATAGGTAGTGTTTTAGTTAGGGAGGTGGTAGGGGAGGAGGGGAGGGAGAAGGGAACTGGGATTGTCATGTAAAACAATCTTGTTTCTAATTCAAATAAAAAATTGATTTAAAAAAGACTTGAAAAAAAATAAGTCAATCATCAATCTCATTATCAGTGGAGGACATTTAAGGTAGCCTCTCCTCTGTTGCTTAGATTGTTAGTTGGTGTCATCTTTATAGATCTCCAGACATTTCCCTAGTGCCTGATTTCTCTTTAAACCTATGTCTCCCTCTATTATGGTATCTCTTTTCTTGCTCTCCTCTATTCTTACCCCAACTCAAGCTTCCTGCTCTCTCATGTCCTCCTCAACCCCTCCTCTTCTCCCCTTCTCATTCTCCTAGTTCCCTCTCCCCTCCCCCCATGCTCCCAGTTTTCTCAGGAGATCTTGTCCCTTTCCCCTTCTCTGGGGGGCCATGTATGTCTCTCTTAGAGTCCTCCTTTTTTACTAGCTTCTCTGGCAGTGTGGATTGTGAGCTGGTAATCCTTTGCTCTAGGTCTAAAATCCATATATGAGTGAGTACATACCCTGTTTGTCTTTTGTGATTGGCTTACCTCTCTCAGAATGGTTTCTTCTAGTTCCATCCATTTGCCTGAGAATTTCAAGATTCCATTATTTTTTGTGTGTGTGTGTGTAAATGTACCACATTTTCTCTATCCATTCTTCAGTTGAGGGGCATCTAGGATGCTTCCAGTTTCTGGCTATTACAAATAATGCTGCTATGAACATCATTGAACAGATGTCCTTGTTATATAAATGTGCTTCTTTCGGGTATATGCCTAAGAGTGGAATTGCTGGATTTTGTGGTAGACTGATTCCCATTTTCCTGAGGAGTCACCATACTGATTTCCAAAGTGGCTGTACTAGTTGGCACTCCCATCAGCAATGGAGAAGTGTTCCCCTTTCTCCACATCCTCTCCAGCATAAACTGTCATTGATGTTTTTGATTTTAGCCATTCTGACAGGAGTAAGATTACTAGATTTCAGAGTTGTTTTGATTTGCATTTTCCTGAAGGCTAAGGATGTTGAACACTTTCTTATGTGTCTTTCAGCCATTTTAGATTCCTTTATTGAGAATTGTCTATTTAGTTGTGTACCCCACTTTTAATTGGATTGTTTGGTGATTTGGAGACTAGCTTATTGAGTTCTTTGTATATTTTGGAAATCAGCTCTCTGTCAGATGTGGGGTTGGTGGATATCTTTTCCCAGTCTGTGGGCTACTGTTTTGTCTTGCTGACTGTGTCCTTTGCCTTACAGAAGCTTCTCAGTTTCAGGAGGTCCCATTTATCAATTGTTGATCTCAATGTCTGTGCTACTGGTGTAATGTTCAGGAATCTGTCTCCTGTACCAATTAATTCAAGAGTATTTCCCACTTTGTTTTCTAAGAGGTTCAGTGTGGCTGGTTTTATGTTGAGGACTTTGATCCATTTGGACTTAAGTTTTGTGCATGGTGATAGATAAGGATCTATCTGCAGTCTTCTAGATGCCAGCATCCAGTTATGCCAGCACCATTTGTTGAAGATGCATTCATTTTCCATTGTATAATTTTAGCTTCTTTGTCAAAAATAATTTGTTCATAGGTGTGCAGGTTAATATCAGGGCTTTCAGTTCGATTCCACTGGTCCACCTATCTGTTTTTGTGCCAATACAAGCTGTTTTCATTACTATCGCTCTATAATAGGGCTTGAAGCCAGGAA